TGACTAAGCTCCGCTATGGAAAAGCAAGTAAAAGAAAAAGAAAATTCCTTGCATGTCCTGGGCATTTATTGATCAATTTAGTACATTGGGTCTTTGCTAAAAAATTGCTTATTTTAGACGCAATACTTTTTGTTTGTTCAAATCAAATCCTGGCTAATAGTGGATGAGTGCGAAATTTAATGAAAAAATGAGGAAAAGAAAAGAAAACCTTATATTAATAGAAACGTAAAACACATGTTCGCTAATTGTAAACATTGAAGTTCTTCTTTCTAACAAATTCTTTCCAATAGGATAGAATAGAAAAATAAAAAAAAAATGTTTTCTAAAGTTAGAAAAAATTAAAAATAAAACTCGGAAATAAATTCAATAAATTTTTTCCCTGGCATCGGAGTTTACAAATGGTTTAAAACACTTTAAGTGTTGCACTTAATTTGAAAAGATAGAGAGAGAGAAACTCTTAACTGAAGCAAATAAAAAAGAAAAAAAAAAGAAAAAAAATGCAAAAAATACAAAAAGAAAAACAATGTAAAACTTTGACTACGACATGGCAATTTTTGTATATTCTGCAGTGTATTCTGCATAATTTTTACATTTTTCAATGTCATTTGTACGATTTTTTTACGCTTCAATGCAATTTTTGTAGTTCCACTTCTTTTGCACACTCAATACATTTTCTTTAACAAAGTACTTTATATACGCGATATATATATATATATATATAAATATTCGTGTGCCCCTCTTTGCCAGGCACTCTTTTGAAACTTTTATATATATATATATATATATATATATATATAGCATTTTATTTTTTTGGCAACAGAAAAAAGGAAAAAAAAATGGAAAAAATTTTGCATGTTTTGGTCATGTTCGTACGTATCGAAAGACAAGGAGGCAAATATCAAAAACATACATGCATGCACATACGTAGGAGCAGACGTACACTCCACTTACACTAGCACCGTATGCAATCACACATAGCAGAACAGTAAAATCCATAACCAGAAAGCAACAGAAATGGGTCTTTTAAAGTACCAGAAATTATAGTTGGAAGTATTTCTTATACATATATCTTTGGGACAGTTACGTATACGTGCATCGATACAATCTTTGTTCTTTGTATACATTTACAAACAGGGTCTCAAAATGAACTGATCTCCGGACAGTATTGTGAGATAGTTTCAAACTCTCTCATGGCATGGGAATGATATATTGAATGAATAAGATTTTGGTACAATAAACGAGGATGACCGACATGATGTGACCAATAAGACCACTTAACTTTCCATCTATATGCACCTTTCTAAGTAAGTAAGTCTAAGTGTTTTTGGAAGGACATTTAAAACAACTGGTCCTCTAATTTGGTCTCCTATAAAATGTTTGTAGTGCTTTGTCGAAAAACTGAACTTCAAATTGAAATTGAATTAACCGAAGTTTTGTCTGTCCGAAAAAGTGGCTTATTTAGTCGAGAATGTCATACATAATTAAAACAAATACACACACTTATAAGTAGATAGAAGAATAATAAACAAACAATTTCGTTGTACGCTTCCAGAGCTACTCATAGCCGAACGTGGTAAAGGCAACAATTTTATTTTTTTTTATGCAATGCTATTGCGTTTTTGCTTGCATTGCGACGATGTTGTGCGTCCGAGAATATGGTTTACATTTACTTGTTCTTTATTTTGAAAAATAAACTTATGTAACTAACAGCTCTTACTAATTACAGCGATGTTTTCATTTAGGAAATAATTTTACAAACCCTATGAGAAGAACATAAGCGATAAATCCATAGTTTCTTTTGGAAATTGGCGAACTTAAAAGAGCCAGCAATCTTATTGACATAACCATATTGCAGTTTTCGTAACTCGTCCGTTGGAAACATTTTTTAAAAGCCTATATGTCAACTCCTTCACTAAATTCTTTCTTTATCTTTTGAACGCGAGTTTGGTTCTACGACAAGTGTGGCTTTCCTTTCCTTTGAATTAAAAAAGGATTTCCGTTTAATAGTTGTTAATATCCTCAAGTATCATATTAAAATTCTTCAGTATTTCTTGGATTCAAGACAACACCGCTTTCGTTAGTCGCTTACTTCTTTCCTTTACGGACTCTCTATGCACTCTCGCAGAGAGGTGCAGAGACGTAAAGTTTCGGTCTTTTTCAAAATTAAATGCAATTTCATTTTGATACACCCTTTTGTGTATGTACGTTGACTTTTATATAAGTACATAAAAAGTGCTACAGTGATATAGTTTTGGAAAAATTCAATTGTTGTAAAAGAAAAGAGAAAAATTTATGATCATTGTACTGTTAAGGGTGTTAAAGCAAAAGGACAATATATATAAAGTCACACTTTTTAATATGCACACAAAACATGCACACGCACTCACATATTTCATATATATACAGATATTAAAAGTTGTTTAGAAATTTTCATATTTAAATATGTAAATTATAATGAAAAACGTATTACCGCAGTCAAGTGCGGTCTTGCTCTATCTATCTCGCTATCTTTTGCGAAAGAAAAGAAAAGCGTTTCTTTACACCTTAAGGCATAAATTGAATGCACGCATGCTTCCGCAATTTTTGATTATATATTCTTGGGAAGAAAAATTGTGAAAATAATATCAAAAGAGCGTATGAGTTATCTTACAATATTATGCATGTAAATTCATGTAAAACGCTCACTCGTCTGCATTAAGTGCGATCGTGTTGTGTAAAGAATTTCAACTTCATTTTACTTGATATTCATAACGTAGTTAACATCAATATCTGGCAGATGTTAAGTGAAAAGGAAAAAAAAAAAAAAACATACATACATATACAGCACACGCAAGGACTGCACCTTTCATTATATTACGTTTATCTATCCGTCTCTCCTGCTGCCCGTCTTCTTTTCCTGTGGTCGACCTAGAGAGCATAATTTTTGGGGTATTTTGAGGAAAGTTGGTACATGGGTATCCTTTGGCTCAAGGACGAACGTTTTCGCAAATGGTTTGGATCGGACCACTTTTTCGACTACTTCGCTTAAAAAGTATTATTTTGAAATCTTTATATGAAGCACTGTATTAAGCAAAGATATTTGACGGTGTACCCTGGCTTAGCATAATGTTTTCATTAACAACTTGTTTGATTTCAAATTCCTGCCTTCTTTTAAGTTTTCTTATGTTAGGATTGAAACAAAATTCAATCTTTTTTTAAACTCGTTCGATATGCTTGTCTTGTCCTTTCTGTCAGCTGGCATTGGTCGCTCTCCAGGTACAGAGCATCGGATTAAGTGGGCATTTAAGGGATAAAACTTTCTCTCGATCTGCATACAGTTTACTTTGCCCTAGATTTGTAATGCAAATTAATGGTAAAGTACATCGCCAATTGGCGGTTGAGAAGATGGGAATGTTCAAAATAAAATTTATTTAAATTTTTAAACTCGAATAAAATATAGCCGTACAAACGCGCTTACGGTGGCTTATATATGTCCTATAATTTCTCTTCTTATATATAAATGAGAAAGAAATGAATATGAAATGAGTAAAAAAAAAAAAAAAAAAAAGTACATTTATATGTATTACATACACATACATACGAATTTATTTTAATTCAACTTTGGTTGTAATTTCACCAGTAATCTCTCAGCCGCAATCAGTGTAACTGAAAAGCCACAAAACGCATTACAACTTGTGACATATCATCAGATTGTGTTATTTATCACAACAACAACAACACGAACACTGACACACTCACAAAACAGAACAGAAAAACAGAACACATACGCACGTAATCGCACATCGTCGTCAATGCCAACGAAATACCCCGACATGTCAACATGGCTGACACATGTGCCAGGCAGATGAGCTCTACTTTTCTCATTCATAGACAATACATATGCATGTATGCACGTGTATGCGTATGTCTATATACATGCAAAAGCATATAATATATATAAATTTATTTGATGACTTAAGTTTTTTTTTTTTTTTTTTTTTTGATTCGTATGTGCATCTCTCTGTGCATATATGCATATAGACACCGAGAACTTGAAGCGGTTAATTCACTTTTAGACATCGAATATGTATCGATGAAATAAAAATGCACTTCTACATATATGCGCAATAGGCTTATTTATACAAACAGATAAAAATGTTTTTACCTATGTAGGTCATGTGCATAAATTAAGTTTAATTACTCTTTTATGCTCTCTTATTATTAGAGAAACGCATCCATATATGCAAGGACTTCATATCAACATGCATTGGACAATTTTTTTAATAGAAACAACGAAAGCTATGTAAACGAATTATACACAAAGTATATCAGCTTATGGAAAACATATATATATATATATATATATATACGTTGCATAAGAAGTATTAAGCTCATGTAGAACGGAATTTCTTGTTATTGTAAAACAATCTTATTATTAAACCGCAATATGCCATTTTATCCGCCTGCTTCTTGACAAAAGCTGAACACAGTGAATACGTCGAAAAGTCATTAGATAATCATTTTACTGACTTTTGTATATCTGGCATCGCGACATTCAGACATATTTGTAGGAAGTGAAATTCTGAAATTTTCAACTGTACGGGTTACAAAAAATGTTCCTAAACCTTTGCACCAGTTTGGCATAGTCAATAAGTCACGCGATAATCCTGAAGTTGAGAACCAATTATTTTTTCAATTAGTTGTTCTTATTAACAATCGTTAACACATTCGGTTTTAAACCGCGCCCTATGCTTATTGCACTGTACTTTTAAGCAGTTCCAACACCCAAATCGGTCTAAACATGTTCGTCCGTGCGAACGGTTGTCTGCGTTAAATATTCCACTGTTTGCGAAGAATGAAGATATCGGATTCGAATTTGGCAAAAACTTCTCAAATTCTTGCAGGCAGGATGCTATTGAAAATAGATGATGTCACGTCAATGCATTTATTTATTTATAATTTCATTTATTTGCTATATTTTTCATAAATAAATTTGCAAAGTATGGATTTCGCATACTTACGTTGTATGGTCGCCTGTAGCACTTGATATTTGGACGCGCGACCACTGAGTTATTAGTCGCGACGCTTTGCCTACAAAAAAATGCAAAATACATGAGTTCAGAGTATCTTTACTTACAAAAATAAAAAACTGACTTTAATGCTTACGCGATACAAATTTATGCTTATATCCTACCCGAGAGCTCTTATACGAAAATGGAAAAAATCGGTCACTTCGATCCAATATTATTAGTATCTTAAATATCAATAATTGCAGTCATTGCAACAATTATCAACCGTGTTTTTTAAAATTTTATTGCTGTGACCTTGAAAAGGTAACCTTTTTTCCCTTTTTTTTTAATACCCCGAATAACTCAAGGGATGTCATCTAAACGTGCAATACGACGGTGACGGTCAGAAAGAATTGGGGAAAGACATAGGCTAGGCTGCGAACACTGCGTAGCCTAGCATACGATTGACAGTTAGAGGCTCAATGGTAAGATTGCGTCTTTACATATCAAGTCAGCAGAATGCCCTGAGGACGAAGAACGTGTTAATTTATGCCATATTCGGATAAATAGAACACTTTACCATGCTTCTTACACTTACAAGGTACATTAAATTAGATTTTTTTGATTCAGGAACGAGGTAAGCTCTACGCTTTTAGTTAATTTTGCAATAAATGCCGCAGACGAGAGATCTCATATCTCGTATTTCCAGTATCGCGGGACCGATGAGTTTCAATCTATTTATTTGTCTGTTGATATACCATTAAATAAAGTCAATGTTCTTTCAAGTTAGGTACACATTTTTTAAAAACTAAATATTCTGTGGGATATTTTCAGCCAAATTTAATGAATTTAACTTTATCCGCCACTTTTGTTCAACAGAAAGTAGTATTCTTAGTCACCTACTCAAAGCCAGAGATTTTGTCTAATGGAATTAGGGATTATATTAAGGGCAGACAGTCGGAGCTCCTATCACGGACGGATTGATTTTTTGCCCTCAACTATTCCAAACCCTGCCGCATCTACGATCTGTTGTGCTGTGTGTGTGGGGGTACATATATAAACATATATATGCGGTTAAATGCGTAAGAGATCTTTCAAATAATTATAGAGAGTAAAATAATATTATAAATCTAAGTAAATCTAAAATTCATATTCGAATTAAGTGTAGAGCAAGAGAATAATAGCTTTTACTAATATATTATAGACAATGTAATGAATTACACGCTATGAAGGGCAAAACCGCAATTTCTGTAAAAATCAGTTTACATTTGAAAATTATGCTCAAACTATTGCCGCAAATAGGATTCCATTTAGAGTTTAAAGTTCCGTTGTGTTGTGGCATGAAAAATTATTTTCTTTACATAAATTTGTATACAGCTCTTTGTGTATATTGTATGTGTAGGTACTGCACCAAGGTAGTAAATTTCTATTAAATGTGCATTTTTGCGCAAGTTTTTGAATTAAAAAGAAAAGAAAATTGAAAGAAAAGAATAAACTAAGAAAACGTTCATGCTCGTACTTTTCCTGGTATAAATGAAATTTGTTTTTGTGTTTTTGATTTTTTTTTTTTTTTTTTTTTCTTGCTTCTCTCTTTTTCGTTATGTAACAGCTGTGCTTTCTTCATTCATTTAATGCGGTCTTTCTTCTTTAGCTGCACTGGTGATGATGTCTTGAATAAAGTACAATATATATATATATTGTATATATATATGTATGCGTATATAAATAAATATATATTTATACCTATGTATATAAGTGTATCTAAACTATTGTATAGTGTCAGCTATAAAGAGAAAAGTTTACAATTTGTGGCTTAAATAAGCACAAGACGTAGAAGAAAGCAGAATAATAATAATAATAAAAAAAAAAAACAAAAAACAAACCGAAGGTGTTACAGAAACACTGAAAATGTTGCAAAATGTTGTGGTATTAACAGCCATAAGTATTAACTTTCTTTTTGTTGTTGCTCCTTTAAAATTCTCTACCGTAGCGTACCTCCATATTAAGTAACTTACTCCATTTGCATCGTGCCTAAGACATCGAGCTCTTATCTTCCAAGACTAGCCACGGAGGTACTAGAATTTCTCTGATTGCTTCGTTCGCGCGTTTAAACATCTAAAAAGTAAATATGGCAACATAAGGGGGAAACAAAAATACATAATTGTTAGGGAAACGTCAAACGAGCGAGCGAGGAAATAAATTTACATGCAGGGACCTCAACATCTCACGTTATTTTAAATCGTAAAATGAGTATATGTTCACAAGATCTTTTGGAGAGTTGTAGGGTCTGTAAGGAAGACAAGTGATCAAATTATGAATGACCCCCACTGCCAACCGACAATAAAGGCAATAAAGGAATTGTAATATTTGATCAATTAATTTATTTGGATTAGGTGGGACTTCTGTTCATTCTAACTTTCGAATAGTAAACCAACATCTTCCACAGATCTGCATTTGATAAGGGAAACATTTGCAACTTTTGATTGACGGTTTTGAGGGTTTTTTACCTGCTTTTGGTTTTCGTAGGAAAGAGTTACGCCTATTTTCGCACTCGATTGATTGAACTGCTGAGCTCGGGATATCTTAATATGTTTAACTTAGCAATATTTGTGGCAGTTGTTAGTTTTTTTGTTAAATATTACAAACACAATTTGAAAAAGTCCGCATTTGGCGAAAAGGCGAAGGCGAAGACGAAGATCAGAAGTTTGCCTTTTTCCTCCCCATTTCATTGCGTATGATTAAAATAAGAAGGTATTCAAGGTTTGAATTCATTCCCGTCTCTTTAATAGACAAGATAGGCAGGCCGAAGAACACAAGAGAAATCAGCAATCCTTCGAACTTGTTATTCGGAACTATGCCATGGTTATATTTGCCAAATTTCGACTTCTTAGACGATGTTCTCTTATTTTGAAAAGTTTGCCGGAAGAACGGGAAATACTTTAAGTTAAATCTTTTGAAAAGGAATGCAAAACATGTCTATCAAACTTCGCCTTTGTATTTAGTGTCGTGAAGCTTTAAGAGTTCATGTTACGAAGGGACATTAAACCAGTCTATTACAGATATGTCAAGCGCCAATTTTATACCCGGAAGGCGTACAATTTTGAAAAATCCAAGCAACACATCTTTATTCATAAAGGACGATAGATGGGTATTTTCTAGCGCTACAAATCAAATGATAAACTAAGTATATCATGTTTTGCTGTACTGAGTATGAATATTGTCATATCTTCTTTCTTCATTCATATGACTCTTATAGACTATGCTTTTTGTAAAGAAGAAAAGAAATACAAAATGAAATACATTAAGTTTAACTAACATATAATCTGGACCCTAAAAGAATGGGTATCCAAGTAACCTCTTAAGGGATGTATGTCTTTTTTACTTTATTACTTCCCTTTTACTTGTTTACTTATTTCTTTCGTGTTTTTTTTTTTTTTGTTTTTTTTTCCTTCAACAACGTAGTACCAATAATTGCACTAAAATAATGAAACTTAAAAAGAAAAGAAAGTTGAAAAGAAAGTAAAATACAATTGCGCGCAAATGCGAGAAGGAAAGCTCAAACAACTGCAAAATAAAAAAAAAAAGAAAGGAAAAAAAATCTATTTCTGTTTACTTTTAATGGAAAATTTTCTAAATTAAAATACAACAACTTACAGCCATAAATTACAAATATAAAGGAGAGGATAAAAATGCAACATAATATGTAACGGCAAAGCATATATATATATATATATATATGTTGAAATACTCTAGGGTGTCACGGTGCTTACTAAACACAGATATAAACCTAAAAAAAAAAAAAGCAGGAAAATTTTTCAATTTTTTTTCCATTTTCATTATATCCTTACAAAGTTTGAAAAGCTTTTCTGTTACGAAAGTGTCACGTTTAATAGAAAAAGAATCTCTTCTAAGCGGGTTCCCCTTATTTCATTAAAATCGCATGAGCACAAGGAAATCTTTTGAATGTTTAAGTAAAATTAAAATTTTTACTAAAAAGTACGACCGTACGTATCGATACATGTGGCCAGGACTGAAAGTGTATTTAAAATTCAACAACTTTGCGTTATGTAAAGCTTTCAAAATTAAATTAATTTTAAAGTTTTTTTTTTATTACATTTTATTTTTTATTTTTTTGTTATTTTTTTTTTTATAAATACCTTTTATAGATAACCTGCAGGCAGTTATATTAGTTAGTTTTACTTCGTTGGTGACATCCTGAAATATGCCTTGAAGATACTATGAGGACCACGAAATCGTCCCTCACTTTTCAGTCCCACATAGATTTGAGCTTAGTTACGCTATCTTATGTATTTTAAGCCAAGTGTAAATCTACTTATAAGCAAAACAGTGTTGTCAGATGGCAGTCAGATACGCAATATAAATCAGGGATGATTATTATTTGAAGTTCCGATATAAACCTCGAATGAGAATCTATTCAGACCGATCAGGATGAAAACCGAGGTAATGACCAAAACAGTAAAATTCCCTTCTTCTGTTTTTGGGCAGTCGGAGCGCAAACAACGGTCTGTTCAAATAAGGGTTTTGCCCGATTATAAGCGTGTGAATCATATATAAAATAAAGATAGAAGTTTAGATCCCAGAGTTAAGGTCCAAAAATTTGTTTGATCTACTTGCTTGGACGTAAGATTAAATTATTGGAATCATGAATATTGATGTGATACGATGTCAATCCCCTTTATGCGTACACAGAGGGAATCGAAATAAGATCCGGGGAGATTAGTGGCCGCTTGGTCAAATTTTTCTTGGAAGAAGCTTGTCGCGAGTTACGGCGGAATTATATTCTGTACAAAACTTTAAAGTAGATTTTATTTTCATTAACAAAATATCTTAAACTCACTTAGCAGCAGTCCATCTTCTCACTTGTTGAAATATCATTGCTGAAAACTCTGCAATATAAAGCTGCAACTTCACGTCTATTTTCCGAAAGTGGAGCGGATATACTTTCAAGATCACGTATGTTGTTGTTGTCAATAACCTATAATTTGCAAAGGCCTGGTGATCTAAAACTTGGTACAAATATTTACCAGAGTCACACAAAAAATCAATTAAGATGCTTAGCAT